AATACCATAAGTTCGTGACATCCCACTAAACCATAAGGAGCCATAATTAAACAAATTGGGCGAGACTCTAATTTAGCAACGACCTTTCAACGAATCTTAAATGACCTTGACAATTAGTAGCCAATCAGAAGACAGTTAGTATAAAGTGAAAATATATTGTGAGTTAACAATGAATTACAGTGGATATTCTTCTTTTACATGATTTAAAAACTTGTTAAGGTTTGATGAAGGTTCAGAGGCTCTGAATTCATAATGCATATGGTATAGAAACTCGTCCATAGGGTTAGTATTAAGGTTAGGTTATAACCTAACCTTAACCTAACCCTAATTAGGGTGCTAACATGCGATCAGTTTACAACGGATATTAGAGGTCAGGTTTAGGGTCAGGGTTGTGGTTGTCGCCTGTCAATAAATACCTCTTCTCTAAAATCCGATGTAAACCGATCGCATGTTGGCACACTAACCTTAACCTAACCCTAAACCCCAATCTAACCCTAAACTCTAATCTAACCCTAAACCCTAGCCTTAACCTAACCCTAAACTTAACCTAACCCTAACCCTTAAACCTAATCTAACCCTAAACCCTAACCCTAAACCCTAACCTTAACCCTAATCCCTAACCTTAACCTAACCCTAAAACTTAATCTAACCCTAACCCTAACCTAAACCCTAACCTTAACCTAACCCTAATCTTAACCCCAAGCCGCAATCCTATGGATGAGTTTCTATACAATATGCGTTATGAATTCAGAACTTCTGAGCCTTTATCAAACCTTAAGAAGTTTTTAAATCATGTAAAAGAAGAATATCCACTGTAATTCATTACTTTCTGGTAATATATTTTTACTTTATACTGTCTTCTGATTGGCTAATAATTGAAATTGCTCAAACGCTTCTCATTGGCTCGTCCCTAAATTAGAGTTTCACCGTCCCATCTGTTTTAACCTCTCATTAATCACCTCCTCTCTAAAATCCGCTGTGAACCAACCGTATGTTAGCATCGCGTGTCGAACTTTGCTCCGTGACCTTGAAATAGCTCAAACGCTTCTGATTGGCTCGTCGCTAAATTAGAGTCTCGCCTCACCAACTTCTAAGCCAAATAAAAAGTCCAAATCTGTAACCCCTACAACTGACGACTCAGTGCTTGACAATATCGAACCTTTAACTACTGAGAAATATATGTATTGTACACAAATGTCTCTATCATCACCAGATTCTCCATGTTGCAGCCCTTCTATCTCTACGTGCAGTATGCCAACGGTAAGACTGGTTGACATACAAGACACTATACCTACGTGCATCAAAAAGTCAGCTCAGTCTACTAGACAGTACGTGCTACCAAGGCCTAAATCTAAAATTTCAAAAACTAAAGAGTCCAATGGTCCACCTCATACACACCAAAATACTGATAGATATAGCAATGACACCCGACAGCTAGAAAACTTTCAATCCGAAATTAACGGCAAACTTGAGCAATTAGCACCCCTCACTCATATATGGGGCCTTGACACAGACAAATCTTGAGCAAGGGTTACTTTTGTATAACCAACCTGCTGACTGCGGTGGACAGATGGACAAGCATCCTCGATCGCAAGGGCAAGGTTGATATCATTTACCGTGACTTCTCAAAAGCTTTTGATAAGGTTAACCACTTGTGTCTTATCAATAAGCTCAAACGACTAGGTATCAAACCACCTCTAATCAATTGACTTACTTCATACCTAAAAAATCGACACTTTAAGGTTAGGGTTAATTTCACTTTATCTCAGGCTATGGAATGTCCTAGTGGGGTCCCCCAGGACCTCTTCTCTTCTTGATCTACATAAACGATCTTCCTCAACAGGTAACGTCAGACTTATTACTTTTTGCCGATGACGTGAAACTTTGGAGAGAGATACGCAACCAAGACGATATGCAGGCACTGCAGGAGGATCTGACTCGACTTCGAAGTTGGGCAGACGATAACGGACTTACCTCTAACACTTCAAAGTGTAAAGTAGTCCATCTGCGGCGTTTCGCAAACTACAGTTACAACTTAGGAAACTCCTCTCTAGTAGTATCCCAAGTCGAAAAGGATTTAGGAGTCCTGGTGCCCCATGATTTAAAGTCTTATGCTAACTGTGACAAAAATGCCTGCCGAGCAAACCTTGCACTGGTAACGTTGAAGCGCATTTTTGGACAGTTTGACGGACGAACTTTCCATACAATCTTCAATAGTTTCATCCGTCCCCATTTAGAGTACGGAAACATAGTACTCCCCCTCACGCCAAAAGGACAAGGTCACTTTGGAGCGTATCCAACGGCGAGCCACGAAATCAGTTCGAGGACTCAAATCTAAACCTTACGAAGAGCGCTTCCATAGTCTTTACCAGTGGCCTCATCCCCAATACTTTGTATATTGGAAAAAAGTTCCCAGGTAGTGATCATAACATTGTCATATGCAGCCTTAATGTAAAAACCACAACCGATAGAAGTAAAACCGTATTACTTCGTAGGAACTATCGCAAGGTTGATTGGAATAACTTCCACAATTACCTAAGAAGCACTGATTGGAGAACTTTCTTTACCTCAAACAATACCGACACATTAACCAATATATTTTATCACAACATCAAAAGTATCATCAACAACATCGCACCTTTAGAATACTGTAAACCTACGTTCTCCAAAGATCTCTATATACCGGTCAGTACAAGAAGACGTCTTCAAAGACATTGTACTCGATTCCACAACTTAAATGACTTTTCCTCTTTAGTAACGATGACAGAAATACTTGTCCGAACAGAGGCAATAAGTAAACAAAAAGCAGTAGCACAGGAAAAACGTGCAGTTGAACTTAATAATAACTCCTCTGCACTCACCATACTACTCCAAAATAAACTTAAACGCTCTAAATCGAGAGGGAGTATATTCATTAAAGGCAAACAAGTATACGAAGATCCCAAACTTATCACAGAATTATTCAGTGAACATTTTTGTTTCTCACTAACTAACGAAAAACCATTTAATGATTCAGAACCAATCCCAGTAACTCCCTGTGAAATTACTAATGTAGAATTCAGTGTACAAAATATCTCCAAAGCAATCAGTACATTGAAACACTCCTACACTGATGGACCAGATGGTATTCCATCTAGCATGCTAAAACGTGGAGTGATGATATGTGTGTTTTGCTTCTCAAACTATTCGCGATATCACTCTCTTCAGCGTGTTACCCTACTGCCTGGAAAACTACACATATCATTCCCAAAATTAAAACAGGACCTGAAGCAAACGTTGAAAATTACCGGCCTATAAACATAACTTCAGTGGTATCCAGAGTGATGGAAAAAGTAGTTAAGGCGGCTGTAGTCCAACATCTATTAACTAACAATCTCTTGTCGACCTCCCAGCATGGATTTCTTAGGTCCAGATCATGCGATACATGCCTAGTAGACTACCTGAATGATATAACCCTGAAACGAGACAGCGGACTCCTTGTACCAGTCCTATTCCTAGACTTTAAGAAAGCCTTTGATAAGGTCCCACACAAAAGGCTACTCGTCAAACTAAAGTCCTTCGGAATACACAACCCACTGTACTCATGGTTTGCTTCGTTCTTAACAGAACGTAAACAGATGGTAAAGTACAATGACTGTCTCTCGTCCCCTAGACCAATCACCAGTGGAGTCATCCAGGGAAGCGTATTAGGTCCACTTTTGTTTCTTATGTATATAAACGATATATGTAACACCATAGAATTTGGGAAACCGTACTTATATGCTGATGATCTCAAAATAGTATACAGCTATAAGCCTGAGACACTAAGCGAAAGTGTATCCCAGATCCAAAAGGACCTCAATAACTTAACAATATGGAGTGAAAAATGGCAATTACCATTTAACCTCAACAAGTGCGGGATCATGCACTTTGGAAAGCATCCCTATAAACCGCGACTTCACTTAAATGAATGTATAGTCCAAACACTCGAATCAGTACACGATTTAGGAATTAATTACACAGGAAGCCTAAACTTTGAAGAACATGCCTCCTCTATTATTTCTAAATCTAGACGGCTAATTGGTTTTATAATGAAAAACTTTTTCACAACAGAGGGTAAACTTACTCTCTACAAAATATGTGTACGACCCACCCTTGAATACTGCTCTTTTGTCTTCTCTAATATGAATATCGCAGACAAGATAAGAGTAGAAGATGTTCAAAGACGTTTCACACGTCAACTACTAGGATGTAACTCGAATCTCGATTACACAGACAGATGTAAGCATCTATCTTTAGAACCTTTATGGCACCGTAGGCTAAAACACAATTTAATATTTCTCTACAAAGCGATATATGGGCTCTCCTTTCTAACCTCCTGCCCGACTATCACCCACGACCCAGCCTATAGACTTAGAAACAACGCATATACACTACTTACCGTAAAACACCAAAAACAAATGCGTTGTAAGTTCTTTACAGTACGGTACAGTTTATTGTGGAACAGGCTGCCAATGCCTATCCGTAACTGTGATACGTTTACCAGATTCAAAAAGCTAATAACCCTATTTCTAGACTCCAAAGAGCTTCAACATTTCCTTGAACTCCCGCCCACCAATGAGGCACTTTATTACGGACCGCCCAGTATCCAGAAAGAACAAGATTATAACAGGTTCGACTGTTACTAATACGAATACAACCAAACCACAGGATATATGGCTTATCCTTTCCTATTATTCATTGTTTATTAATCATAACCTTATGTTCCTAACCCTAGCTTTCAGTTTCCAAATCTCTACAGGTTAAATGTACATTATTCTTCCTAAAAGTCATGCTTTTTTTCTACTGCAAGTAGACAGATAGCTCAATCTTATGGATGCTGATCTACTATGGCCGATCATACAAAGCTCCAAATTTGGCCACAAAGTCTTGTGAGTTTCCCAATGTTTTATTTGTTTTACCCTGAAATCTTTTTTTTCTTCTACAATTTTATACCCTCTCATATCTTTTATTTGCCGGTAGCCATTCGCCTTAGCCGCCATGAAACGGGACAACTCGGGAAACAACCAAGATGGTCCTCCGTCAAAATTCCAACGTTCTTCCGTTGATTTTAACAAATGTTTCCATCAGATTTCTTATTCCTGGGAGGGCTGCAGGGATAATGATTGGGAAGGGTGGGGAAAATATCAAAAAAATTCGATCACAGTATAACGTCAAGCTGAATATTCCGACAGCAGAGGCCCTGAACGGATAATGACTATCGAAGGTGACCTGCAGGCTATCTGCAGCATCATGCGCGATGTTTGTCCGAAACTGAAGGATATAATGAATGCCAAACTTTCCGACCCTAAACGCATAATGGGTGCCCAAGGATCTCGACGCCGCCCGAGACGAAGTGAAGATCCAGAACGAGATGATGAGGAAGACGAAAACATGATTGACTTCAGAATATTAGTTCACGAAAGTCAAGCTGGGTCTGTAATCGGTCGAGGCGGTGAACGCATTAAGGACCTTCGTGATAAATCAAAATGCGTGTTATCAAGGTGTACCAGATGTTGGCTCCGTATCTACTGACCGAGTTGTACAGATGGTTGCTGACCCAGACAATGTCGGCCAATGTTTGAGAGCTGTGATAGAAGCAGTAGAGTCTGCTCCTCCTCGTGGTCGCCGTGAGGATTATGACGCTGCCAACTTCAGTGAGGGTGACGCTCTCAACTATGGCGGTTGGTTGTCTCGAGAAGCTGCAGCAGCACTCGCTCAAGGGATGCCTCTCCGTGGACCTGGGTGCATGCCGCCGATGGGTTATAACATGGGAGGTCCGTACATGATGGGTGGGGAGACATGGGCCGATGGGTGGCGGTATGGGCCCTATGGGAGGAGGGATGGGACCAGGTGGAGGAATGGGTCCTATGGGCGGCGGACCGGTTCCCGGAGGTCGTGGTAGAGGACCTCGCTCCGGTGGCGGAATGATGAGTGGAAGCGCGCCTCTCGCTCAAGGCCAGCGAGGAATGATGGGCTCTTCAGGCCCAGCACCTGTCCCCCCTCCTGCCGGTCGTAACAACTCTATGGGTCCTCCAGGTGGTTATAGTAGTTCCGCAGACGGAGGCTACGGTGGTCAAGGTGGATATGACGGGTCAGGAGGATTCGACAACGGAGTATACGGAGGCATCGACCAAACTGGACAGGGAGGATTCAGCGGCCCTGGATACGGTGGATCAGGCAACATGGCTTCTGGAGGTTACGGTGGGTCTGGGTATGGTGGAAGCCAGCGTGGATCGGCTGACATGGTAGGTGGTCAAAGTGCTTCCCGTGCGGCACCTATGGTTGGTATGGAAGTATTGGATCTGGAGAGCATGTTGGAGGCAAAGCCAGCCAGTGGTATGGCGGATGGTCTTAAACATTTACTTGCATTTAATTTCAGTAAAATATACCTGTTAATAAATCTCTACAGGTTAAATGTACATTATTCTTTCTAAAAGTCATGCCTTTTTTTCTACTGCAAGTAGACAGATAGCTCAATCTTATGGATGCTGATCTACTATGGCCGATCATACAAAGCTCCAAATTTGGCCACAAAGTCTTGTGAGTTTCCCAATGTTTTATTTGTTTTACCCTGAAATCTTTTTTTTCCTTCTACAATTTTATACCCTCTCATATCTTTTTATTTGCTATTAGTCTTTACTTCTTTAAACCATTAGTTATTTTCATAGCAGTGTGATATACTATATGGACATCTAACCCAAAAAACAGAATTTTTAAATATCTGATTTGCATGTAACATGGACCTAGTAGAGACAGTGTATTCCAACTATGTGCTTTGATTAAAGCATTAATCATACTTACCACAAACGTAAGAGAGCCTAACATCACAAAAAAAGGGAGGGTGACGTTACTGTCCAGCAAACGTGAAGGTGGGGAGATAACTTCAATCCACCCATGTCTGTAGGGCAGAACATTTTGTTTAATTACGGCTCCTTATGGTTTAGTGGGATGTCACGGACTTAAGGTATTGAAGCTGATTTATCACGCAAAATACCTCATTAAATCGTGTTACGAACGTTGAATTGGTTTCACTTCCTACTCAGAAATCCTATTACAAGCAAACTAGACAATTCGCTAATATACGAAGCCTACTCAAGACCCTATAAAACCTGAAAAAAAACAAATAAAAAAAACGAAAGGGGCTCTAATAGCTTCGATAATAAAAGGAAGATAGCCAACTGTATATCGCGATACTGTTTCTAGCACTATATTTTATTTTATAATCACACATAATCTTATACTCTCAGCTCTTTTCCGAATCGCCTCCATTTGTCAGTTGTATGTCCACTCACACCTTGCTAAAGCTTATTTTCTTTAACCTATTAAAATGCTCTTTCTTAACAAATACCTTAATAAAAGAAAATTAGACTGAGTAATCATACCTTAAACATTCCTACATGAATATTGGCTACTCTGCCTCTCGTGTTTCTTTACTTGCTCCCTCTTTCAGCCCCCTTGAGATATGGAACAGGTTACTTCATCCTGCACCATCCTTAAAGCCTTGGATATCCCAAAGGGACATAAGGTTGCGATTTCTAGAAGCTCATACCTTCAATGGACCTATTCTTGACCATCAGTCGCACATTCGCAACGCAGCTTTCGTGAAGCGCGCCAACTACAGTACTGATTAAAACAATCTACATTCATGTCTTATAAATTTTCAACCCAGCTATGTAATTTAATACAGTGTATATTGTATCATTTGTATCAATTTGATCTTGCCTGTAAACTGGCATGCCTCATGTAACAAACTGTTATTTGAGAATAAATTATTATTATTATTATTATACCAAACTGGATGGGATTGTCGCGCGCCGGAGGTTACCAAGAATAGGTAGAATCCTCTGGATATTGATAAGCTGAAAGACAAATAAAAAAGAAGGCGGCAGCATCTGGTCGGGAAATACATGTAATAATTTTTAAAAAAAATCTGCCTTCACGCTTGACACGCTTAAAATGACAATTTGGGTGAAGATTATTTGAGCTATAAAAAAATGGGATTACAGTAATAATAATAAGACAATGCGTGTTAATAGCCGTTGGTTAATAACTTGACGTATAGGTAGTAAGTATTTTGTGTTTAGAAATATTAAAGTGATGAATATTGTAGAAATGTTAATGTTGGTATTAGTTTTGGTTTAAATTATGAAATCAATATGCAATTATGCCAGTAACCTGTCCATATGTGATTTCCAATTGCATCTGTATTAGTAGGCTAACTGAAAGAACAAAAGTATTACCGTGGAGAAGAATTCCAACTAGTGTCCCAGTTAGTCTGATACGGTTTATTTAGTTACGGGGAGATTCTCTCAACCTCATTTTTACTTGACCGTGATAGAATTTAGTAATACTACTAATACACATGAATGGTTATCAAAATAAAATTTAAATACATGAGTGATAATTATATGAATTTTGGACAGATAGCCAGGAACAAATCGTTAAACATGAGTGTATTCGTAAGAGACATGCTCTGGACTCAATGTTCTGATCTGCGGCAGACTACTTATTTACATTTATACTTGCTGGCTGATTGAGCATACAAGTTAGTTGCAAGTATGCAGTTTATCATAAGGCGGAATACGATTTAATTGAGATATAGTGGTTATAGGTTATTAAAATCAGTTAGACCTGTCATATTACGAAGTAATGTGGTGGTGCAAAATGTATTTAGCTAAATAAGTTTTTACAAGATGATTAATAGTGAGTGATGCTCATGTGACTATCAGGGAGAACATAAGTTGTAACCAGGGGGAGTACACTCCCAACTCATGTCTATGATAATGGCTTGAACCTTAGTCAGTGTTGGGGTAAATTCGACATTGATGTTTTCAGTTTACAGGAGGTTTGCTCGACTGCTTATACTGATTATTTGCATGCATGATTGTGTCGCCAAACCATCAATTAGACTGACAAGGTTTTGAGATATTTACTGAATGAACAACTGATAGAGAAACATACTGTAATCATCTGTAGTGAATGAAGATAAAAGAAAAACAACACTAGTGATAATTATAAGTCAATTTGCTGACCAAATTTGTTAATAGTTTCATTAATTTTATCGGTCATATCACGTGATTGTCAAGTCATGACAATGCTTTATGACGATATCCTGAAACTATTATGTTCAACTAGTTATAGTGTTGAATGAGGATTAGTCAGTGGAAAAATAGGTATTGTTGCTTTGCTTTAGGTGATTCGAAGTTATCAGAAATTTATAACGTTAAAGAATCCGAGACGCCTAATTTAATTATGAATTTCAATTTAGAAATATTCGTTTAGTGTTAATTCTAGTAGGCTACAGAGTTTTGATTTTAAACGTTTGTTTAGCCAACAGCTACCTGAGGATTTAGTTGTTTTACTAGTGCAGTTGATAGTACCCAAATTTTTAATCTTATTATCTAAACTATGTTCGCATTTTAGGCTGCTAATATGATAAACCAATCCATAAACCCAAATACGATTAGAAAGAACAGCTATGATGGGTTTATTTATAATTGTTAAAGGCGATTCAGATGATTTCTAAATTTAAAAGACATGAAGATATAGTGCAACGCATGTACGGGCCAGGTTAACAAGCAGGTTGTTGACGTATATGACAATTTAAAAATAATGAACACGACCAGACTGCTTATGAAACTTTAGGCAGGAATATGACGCGTTATAAACATTCTATAAGAAGTTACTGGATTTAGCCTAGGGACACTTACAAATATATCGAAAAAGCAACTGGAAAACATATACATGTTAAGTACAGAAAATCATTAAGTAAAATAGTTGAACTCGCCTGGATTATTTTTGAAAATTAGATTATTCAGTGGACGACAATATATAACGCCATTCGTGAGGAGTAGTGATGATCCAAGAGTATCCAGAATAAAACATGCAGTATGGCAATTAATTCCAGGGTGCTTGATGCTGTTGACGTTTTTGTCACTCGCTCTGATCAGAACTATCGAATGAATTCAGATAATTGTGTGGTTGCCATTGAAAGAGCCATCTAAAGTGACCTTATGATTGCAGAAAACTTATAGCTTAAACTCACCGTATGTTTTTGGAGTAGTGACATCATTGTTGTTTGGCAATGGAACTCGAAAATATGAAATTAGGCAGGCAGTGGTCGGAAGAAAAGATATAACAAGATAGTGCATAGTTTATTTATTATTTATTTATTTGAACACGTAAATATTGGTACAAGAATGCGCCAAATATATATGCGCCACACAAAACAATGAGAATTTAAGGGGAAGGAAAAGAAAGAAGATAAAAGGAGAGAATAATAACAAAGAGATTGATGTAAGGTGGTGTAATAATAATAATGGTAAAAATGCGGGAACGGAAAGGTACAATCAGAAGAAATCTTTCAGTTATTGAAGACACAACCACTTTTTATGAAGAAATTAAAAGAAAGTTACAGCAGGATCGCCACTGGCTTCTATTCTGAGTCATATCTGATAACGTCTCTAGCCACTGAGTCGCACCATCTCTCAGACCCCAACCAGGGAGTCGTGAAGGACCAACACAAGCCAGTCCTTTGTAGCTTTCCTTCATCCCACGACACCGTGACATGCACTGACCACCTCTCCGCTTCTTCCAACCAGCCAGGTGATTTGTAACGCTCCAAGAGTTGGAGTTCCTTGCGGACTTCCGCCTCAATGGTGGATCAGTCGTCACCGGCCATGGAGGGCAGGACAGTCTGACCGATGTTGCTGGAGCAGCAGGCCAGTTGAACTGCCCTTCGAAAAATTCTGCCCACCGTCCAAGACGTCGATGGATGTTAGTGATTGGCATCCCATCATCCTCGCAGATTGTTTCACTCACACCAGACTTCTTGCTGCCAGTGGCTCGGATGAGTTGGAAGAGCTTCCGGTAGTTACCAGATGCAGCTGCTGCTTCCAGCTCAATAGCACGCTCTGACCACCAGGCTTCTCGGTCCTTACGCAAGCTTTGCCCAATTTCCTTACGTAACATCCTTCGTTTGTGGTCAAACTCACGGTCACGGGCTTCAATGAGTTGTAAGGAACCAGAAGAAACCCAGTGCTTATAAGCGGGACGTTTCGCAAACCCACAACTGACTGTTCCCGCCATTTTCATGGCGTCATGCAATTGCAACCAATGCTCATCTATACTTTTCGGTGGAGTAGTAGCTAGCCTAGAAATTAGCTCGGTTCGATACTTACTTGCAACAGAAGTTGCAACCAGCTTGCTAACATCAATCTTTTGGTGGTGGTCACTTCGTTGTCCACTGAAAAGTAAGGCAAGATTGGCGCAGACCAAGGCATGGTCAGAGTCCAGATAGGTACTCCAAAAGGAGCGGCAGTCTTGTACACAACCACGCCAGCGGTAGCTGATTGCGATGTGATCAATCTGAGTCCAGGCTTGGGATGCAGAGGGAGGACGCCAGGTGGCACATCGGCGATGACTGTGCCGAAAG